CATATCCTTATTTCAAAAAATAAAAGCTTCTTATTTAGAAACTCAAAAAATTCATATTTTTATATAAAAAAAATAACAAATTTTATATTTTTCTTATCTGTATATTTTCTCTACATTCTTCAAAAAACAGGGAGATGAATTTATAAAAATTTATGTTACACGGTTAGTAAGTAAAAATCAAAACATTTTGACACTAATTTATATATCAAAATCTTAGATGAAATTATTTAAGTATTTTTAATAAATTTTTTTTACATGTCAATTTATTAAAGATATTTTAATCATTCCATTATCATTTAATTTCTAACATTTTAAATATTAAATCGTCCTAATTTTTCTCAATTTTACTAGTGAACTTACATATTTACTTTTGACATGAATCTGTCCGCCAATTAATCTTAAAATATCGTGGCCGCCCTTGGTGTACTAGTTTGTTATTGGTGGTCCAATATAACTCGTGACAAGGAGTGCTCTAAGCCAAGACTTTAATTACTTACACCCACAAAACCATCTTTGTTTTATTCACTTTTCATAGAGAACAAGTCCATCCACAAATGTCTCAATCTTTTATTATTATTATTATTATTTTGAACAGCACAAACGTCTCATTCTACAGGGCAATTTTTTGTGAAATTCTAAAGATTGTGGAGGGGACCCAAAACTCATGCATGAACATTCATCTGTAAGACTGAGTTTACATTGGTAAGATATAGACAAAAACGTTACTTTTATGTACTTGGTTCTAACTTAGCCCCTTGCTTCTATATATCATTTTTATTAAATGAAAAACTGTTATATAATTTAAATTGTATTAACTGTTAAACAGTTACTTTTAAATTGAGAGGGAGTTTCTTGATCTTGAACGATTATTCTCATTCAAAAACCATCATTTTATTCTGAACTGTAAAATAAAAAATCATTTATTTAAACTTAGTCTTACCAATTAGACTGTAAACCATGGCTAAGCGATAGACTTGTCCTCAAATGCATTAATTTTTTTTATTCTATAGAATATGAAAACAAAAGTTATAACCCTATCTTCAGTAAAATTTGAGCAATAAAATGCAAAAGTTTTGAGTAAAATGAATAACAAATACTGCTACAATTAACAAAGCACTGAACTATGATTGGTAAAGTTATAATAGTCACATCTTTATCCGAAAACACAATGACTGCTTCTTCCTTTTTCTTCCCAGACATCAAAGAACAACCACTTCCACCTATTTATGTCCATGTTTTTATCCATGGTGGGCCTGTTTGGCCGTCCTTGTTTGGTGCTCTACTATTGCTTTGGAGTGCCTTACTTTAGAGCTACATAAATTGGTTTAATTATTTTAATTGGTTGTTGTAGTGATTAATTATTTGTTAACTTCTTTTCAAGAGCAAGAAAGGGCAAATGAAGAGTCAATAAGAAAGATGGGAGAATTATATAGTTTGTCTATTTCATTACACTTGGTTTTTATTTAAGATTACTTAAATTTCCTTCAATATTTTAAAGGCCACAAAGAAACAAATATTGTATGCTTTCTAACATCATTATTAACTTATGATCTATTTAGTATGGTTGTGATTTTAAGAATTTAGTTTTGATTTTCAAAATTTAAATAATCAAAATAAAATTTTTAAACTAAAATTAAAAATTAAAATTACTAACTTATTAAGTATAAAATTTTAAAAGAAATTTCAAAAACTCCAAATTTAATTAATTCATAGAACTATTTAATTTTATTCTTGGGTTTTTAAAATTTTGAAAACCAAAAATTCAAAACTACAATTATATTAAGCGGAGTCTTAATTTCTTAGTAAAAGCAATTTTGTAGTCTACACTTACATATTTGAAAGTCATGCAAACAGAAGTTTTGATTATCAATTGCATGAATATATTAAACATAAATATAAATATAAATACTCCAATATATTAATGAAAGATGTGGTTTTCATAAATAAAAAAAAAAACATTTATGTAAGTAATATGTTTCAAGGTAATTATCTAAATTTTATGTTGTATGTTGCTCTCATGCAAAATTTAAGTCTAAATCTCATAACATTATGCTTAGTTATGAGTCACAGAAGATGGTTGTATAAAAAACAAAAATAATATATATATATATATTATATAGTTTGAATTGTATATAATTTAAATTTTTACTCTCATTAAATGATTCTTATTTTACTATTTATACAATAAAATAAGACTCAACCAAAAAGGCAAATTTATAAAATCATGAAGCTAAATTATTACAAGACTCACCTTTTTCCTTTTTGATTTTAACGTGGATAATTGGGGATGAGGTAGTATATTTCAATTTTCAATTTGTTTGGTGGGTTTGAAACTCCAACTAAAGAGCCACAAAGAACAAAATCTTGGATTCAACCATTGAGATATTATGGTCCGGTTCACACATGATTTGAAGCTACAGTAACAAAATGGAGTTGAGTTCTGGGTTTCGTTTGCTTATGTATTTCCCATATTTTTTTTTTCAGTAAAGTATCTTATTTAAAAAATATAAATTTATGAAATTTAATTAATTTTTATACACTTTTAATATTTTTAATTAAAATTATATTTTTTTTATCTTAATTGCACGATAAAAAGCAATTATCTTTCATCTCTCATTTCTTATCCCATTCTACCGCATGTCATACGATCCAAATTTAAAATTTTTTATTTTCAATAAAAAAAATAAACATTGAGATCATTAATAAAATTTTATATATTTTTAATATAATAGTAACAAAAAAATAACTACGTTACAACACTCAAGTCAAGTATTCATTGAAAAAAATAAATAAATAAAACTTCAAGTTAAGCAAGACTCAACTTCAAATCAAGTATTCATTAAAAATAAAAATAAAAAACTTCAAATCAGGTATCTATCTCATCTTTTTTACTAGGGTATTATATTATCCATTGCCAACTGTATATATTTAAGTAATTAACTAATAAAAATTTTAGTTTACGGTTTAATTTAACTTAGATGATTATAAATTAATTTTTTATTAATAATTATAATTATATAAGAAAAATAATTTTTATATAATTTTTTTTATAACTTAATGTATCATTAAAATAATTAATTTTTTTAATTTATATAAAACTCATAAAATTAAATATATTTACTTATTTAATAATATATAAAAATTTTATAAAAAAATTACACATCCAACACCACCCATTATACAATTTATTCTAAGGTCGGATTGCCCCACACTTTCTTTTATTAATTT